TTTTTTTTTTTTTAATATCTTTAATGATTTCAGAGAGAGGAAAGCAGAGGGAGAGAGAGACAAGCAGAAACATCAATGATGAGAGAGTCATTGGGAATTGAGCCTGCAGCCCGGGCTCAATTGTGCCCTGACCCAGAATCGAACCTCGATCTCCTGGATCCTAGGTCGGTGCTCAACGGTTGAGCCATGCCTGGCCCGGCTCGATAAGATGTCTGTCTTGATAAGGTGATATCTTAACCCATCGTTCACAGCTGTGCCACCTCTTTAATTGCTTCAGTCTAGGATCAAGGGGGAGTGTAGGGTGCAAAGGCCTAGGAGAAAGAAGCCTAAGGAAAAAAAACTTAAATACCTGCTTACTTAAGTATATGTGTTCTACAATTTTATAAGTAATATAATTACATTTCAGATTAATTCAAGTGCTCAATCTTTGGAAATTATAAGTGCCCCTATCAAAGGGAGCAGGGCAGGTTTGGGGGTGGGGTTGGGGGTGGGAAAGTGGAGTGAGTGCCCCAATACCTCTACACCGGGACTTGGAGAAATCAAACTGTCTCCTCATTTACAAGTAGGAGTACTCCCCATCTCCGAGTTTCTGCATCTGCTGGGAAGAGAAGGTTGTTCTATCTGGATCTGGTCTCTTCTTTACTCCTACCTGTCCCTGCTTAGGTACCCTCCACATTTACAGAATCTGGTGGAGGAGGCAGGGCTGTAACTGGACAATTGGGCAAACTCCAGATCCAGAGCCCCTTGAACAGGCCAGTAGGGAGGTCCCTGCTTGGCTGAGCCTGCGCACCTTCTGTCTTTGGTGCCCCCAGCCTGGACCACCAGCTGCTACACTGCCACCTTGCGCTGCCTTTCCAGCACTCCCTGGAAGGGGACTGGGCACACAGGCAGTTTCTGGAGGGAAACTGGGTAGGGGTGATTCTGTCCACCCAGTAGAAGGGCAAAGAGGCCCACAGTGGGGCCTATGGGCAGGCTGGAGCCTAGTTCTACTGAGGCCCTCTGATTCCCCCCTCATTAACTGGTATACTTCAATACTGGCTGGGGCTGGGGAAGTATGCAGAATTGAGTCAGACCTGGGGACCCCCATTGGTGAAGGAGCCTTGAGGATTTGGTACAGAAAAGAAAGGAGCTGAGCTGCTGGAGGCTGGGTGACTGAATGGTGAGACCAAGGATGGACTGAGGGCTGGAAACAGGTATGGCTGGAGCTATGGGGTATAGACAGTTCACTCAACCTGTGTAGGAAGATAGAGTGCAGGGGGCAAGCTGTAGTGTCTGACATGGATGGAATTGGCTTGCTGTATGTATGTGCGTTATAGCCTTAGGAAATCATCTCTTCCTCCCAGGCCTAAAGTCAAGATACTGCTTGGCCCAGGTCCAAGGAAATGGACACAGGAATGGTGGCCCTCTGGTAGGGTCAGGGTCTGTGATTTGGTGACCAGTAGAGTGGCCGCCTCTTCTCTGGTGCCCCAGCTGGATAGGGACCTCAGAAAGGTCCTGGATGCTGATTGGGGATGGGCAGAGACCTTGGAGGGCTCAGGGTTCTCCCCACTGCCTCACAGGTCTCTCCCACAGGTCAGCACCACAGCGATGCCTTTGCCCAGGTGAACCCCCTGAGGAAGGTGCCAGCCTTGAAGGATGGGGACTTCACCTTGGCTGAGAGGTAATGAGTCCCTAAACTGCTGCATGGCCATGTGGGGCCAGTCAGCCATCTGTGCGTCCACTGTTGATGGCTTGGATCATGGCTTATGTGCCCTGAACAACTGTGCCAGCCCCAGGGTGGAGAGTGGCTTGAAGTGGGTAGAGGTGCCAGGGCTGGGGGGGCATTTGGCATTGTTCCTGTTGTGTTCATGCTTTGGATATGTTGAGGAGTGGTACTGGAGTTGCTCTTATCCTTCAGGACCCATGCTGGGTGCTCATTTTTGTGGAAGCTTTCTCTGAGCACACACCCTCCCTTCTGAAATCCTGTAACATTTGTTTTTTACTTTGTGCCCTTAGTTCATATGATAGGATAACTCAGTGTAGAGCTTTGTGACCCTGGGAAGTCACCTAACTTCTCTATGCCTCACATTCCTACTCTGCACCATGGAGATAGTGAAATGTGCCACCCACATGGGAAAACACATGCTAGGAGCAGGGGCCTGCCCCACCCAGCACCTGGCCTCTGTGGAATAGCTGAAAAGCGACTGGGATATCTCCCTCCCCCCTGCCGTGCTTCCCAGTGTGGCCATCCTGCTGTATCTCTGCCGAAAGTATGAGACTCCCGACCACTGGTACCCCCAGGACCTGCAGGCCCGCGCTCGTGTGGATGAGTACTTGGCATGGCAGCACACGGCTCTGCGAAGTAGCTGCACCCGGGCCATGTGGCAGAAGGTGAGCCCTGGGAGTCAGGGACCCCTTCCAGGATCCTCAGGTGACATGCTTTCTGTTTAAAAAGTTCTGTTCAGACCTGAGACCTTAGAATACCAAATTCTAGAATGCCAGAGATTCCAACCAACTTGTTTCTCAGAGGGGAAATTGAGGCAGAGCCAATGTGCCTTAATTCCTGAGCTGCTGGAAATTAATCCTATGCCCCTTTGCACACTCCAGGCTGCCTGGGAATATTGCCTTTTGGGGGAGAAAAAAAGATTAAATCCTCACTTTGCTACATACACACTTTCCAGAGAGAGAGAGGTGTTAAGTGGAAACGTCAAACTAGGAAGAAACGAGGAAACATTTCAATAAAGTTGACCTGGTTTCTGGGACTGCAAGGATTTCTAAGCCTGAAAACAGTGGAAGACTTAAAGTCTAATTTTGCACATACAATGAAATTTTGTGTAAGGACAAAAAGGATGAATAATTTTAAAACAAGCAAAAAACTGCCCGTGGCTCAACAGTTGAGCATTGATCTAGGATCCAGGAGATTGTGGTTCGATTTCCAGTTAGGGCACATGCCTGGGTTTTGGGCTCATTCCCTGGTCCGGGGCGTGCAGGAGGCAGCCGACTCTCTCATCATTGATGTTTCTATCTCTCTCTATCCCTCTCCCTTCCTCTCTCTGAAATCAATGAAGATATTTTTAAAAAAAATATAAAAATAAAACAAGCAAAAAACTGGGAAAGATCTTGGCAAAGATACATTAGAAAGAAGCAACATTCTTAATATATAAGACAGATGCTCCTAGAAATCCATCAGACAAAGACACAGGAGAAAAATGGGTAAAGGAAGCCAGCAGGAATTTAATGGCAGGACAGAGAGAAATGGTCAATAAGTGGATGAATACATATTTAACTTCCGTAAAACTCAAGCAAATGCATATTAAAACAGTATATACATACCATTTTTACTTGTCAAATGTGTGTTTTTTAAATGTGTACTACGAATAATTATTTAGTACACAGTGGGTGCTCTATGTGAGGCAATATGAGACAGGCATGCTTATACTCTGCTGCAGATAGGGTGCCACTGTTCCAAAGGGCCATTTGGCAAAAAGTAGCTTTCCATTGCCTTAAAAGTGTCTCAGCTTCTAGGGGCTGAGAGAGGAGCCCCTTCAAGCTGGTGGGGGCAGAGCCTGGTTCATTTGAGTGCAGAATGGAGAGAAGTCAAGTAGCATGAGTGTAGACCTTTGCTCCTCAAAAGTGTAGCCCACAGACCAGGAGCATCAGCAGCATCTGGGAGCTCGTTGGAAATGCAGAGTCTCAGGCCTCACCCGAGCATACTGATTAGGAATGTACACTTGAACCATATCGCAGAGGGAGTCACAGGTACATTCCCATTTGAGAAGTCTGGGTGGGGTAGGAGGTGGAGAGTGGGGGTGAGGATGGCGGCTGCACTGGTGAGGGCTTGGTGATGTGGCCTTTGTGGTGAGGGCAGTGGGAGCCATGGAAGGCTTTATGCAGGGAAAATATATGAGCAGACTGAGCTTGCAGAAGGATCTCCCTAGCTGCTCTGTGTGAGGGAGAAGTGGAGGTTGTCCCTGTCTGAGTATGAGATGAGGCCTGGGCAGGTGGTGGCTATGGGTGGAAAGGGGTGGGCGGGAGCCAGGAGAAACCAGGCTGGGCTTTGGTCAGAACCTCAGCCCTCTCCTCCCTGCCCACCCACCAGATGATGATACCAGTGTTCCTGGGTGAACGGGTGCCCCCTGAGACGTTGGCATCTACTCTGGCCGAGTTGGACAGGTGCCTGCAGCTGCTTGAGGACAAATTCCTAAAGGATAAAGACTTCCTTGCTGGGCCCCACATCTCAGTGGCTGACTTGATGGCCATCACAGAGCTGATGCATGTGAGTGCCATGTGGTGGCATGGCCCACTGGGGAGTGGGTTGTCCTGGGAGAGAGCCAATATACTAATTCATGTTGCCCTTTCTGGCTGTGGGACCCTGGGTGAGTCACTTCCTTCTCTGTGCCTCAGTGTCCTCATCTGTAAAATGGGACTTTAAAACCCCACCCTGCAGGGATATTGAGGAGCTTTTCAGTGTCTCCTAGGAGAGACCCCCAGCCTATCATATATGGGGTGGAGGAGGGAAAATCCACCTGGTGGATCTCTAAACCAGGTTATGCCATCTTGTCCTTGGCCACGCCCAGCCCCCTCCACCAGGCTCTTTCTTCCCATAGCCCGTCAGCGCTGGCTGCCATATCTTCAAAAGCCGACCCAAGCTGGCTGCCTGGCGCCAGCGTGTGGAGGCGGCGGTGGGGGAGGACCTCTTCCAGGAGGCTCACGAAGTTGTCATGAAGGCCAAGGACCTGCCTCCAGCAGACACTGCTGTGAAAGAGAAGCTGAAGCCCTTGGTGCAGGTTTTGTTGCAGTGAGAAGGGACAGGGCTTGCAGCCGATGATGGAGACGGTTGTCAAAATAAAGAGATGAAACTGCTCCCCTCCTTGGTCATGAGCAAGATATCCTGCACAGTCTCTGGTCCTCAGATCCCTCCATATATCAGGCCTGCGCTTCTTCTGTCTATCTCCGTATTCCACTCTTGCCCCTTCCACTCCAACTTTCATGTGACCTCTGGAAAGAGCTTTAGTAAATAGATATTTGACCCTGTCCTTCCTCTGTTTGAAACTTTCCGTGGTGCCTCACTGCCCTGAGGTCACAGTACAGGTCAGGTCATTGAACTTTGCATTCGAGTTTTGCCCCCACTCCTCTAGGCTGCCCCCTTCTGGTTGCACACAGTATCCCATCATTTTCCAGCCTTCCTCCATCTCCCAGCTCCCGCCTCAGCCTCCTGGCCATGGCTCAAGAGGATTTCTCTGCTTGTAGGACCCCTCCTCACCTCTTTCCCTAGTACTCTCCCCCTCCTTTCTTTTGGCATTTGTCACCATGTCACTTTTACAGGGAGACATCATTGACCTCTCCAGCCCCAGGCTGGGTCAGGTATGCCTCTGGGCTCTTCAGCCCCAGTGCTTGCTTTCTTCTGTCCCTGCAGGAAGTTGGTTCCATGCCCGCCCTGGACTGAGCACGTGTCAGATGGGGGCTGACCCTGTGAAGAAATGTCTGAGTCGGGAATGGCCTCTCTCCTGGGTCTCTGGAGTGATGCTCTCTCCCACAGTGGAGTACCTGCTAATGCATGAACCTCCTTGCAGGGAGGGAAGTCCCAGGTTATTTTCTGGCCTGCAAGTGCTCAGAGGCCTCGCTTTCCCAGGTCTACTTGTAATCCCGACCACAGCCATCTCCATGCCCCACTCTGGGTTCCAGACTTGCCACCTGTCCTTGCCCTTTGCCTTCAAGTCTGTCACACCCTACCTGTTTTGTGTCCCAGAACCTCCGAGTCATCCAATAAATTGCTATTGGGACAGAGTCATGAACAGGCAGCCAGCCTTTCAGTCCACCTGCCTTTCCATGGAGGCTCCTTTAATATGCACACATAGAATTTTAGATGTGTAATTGAAATTGTTCATATACACCCACACAGTTTCAATTATATTTTCATTTGCAATTGAAACAACTTCGAAAAAACTGATGATAGTATCATGCGTGGTTAGTCACACCAACAGATTTCCATGTTTTAAATAACACCTTTTGTTTTGCCTATAAAAATATAAGGTACCATAGCCCTGGCCAGTGTGGCTTAGTCCTTTGGAGCCTCCTAGGAGACAGGGAAAGGTCGAGGGTTCAATTCTTGGTCAGGGTACATAGCCAGGTTTTGAGTTCCATCCCTGGTAGAGGCATGTTCAGGGGGCAGCCAATCAATGTTTGATGTTTCTCTTTAAAAAATCGTGTCCTCGGGTGAGGATTAAAAAAAAAAAAAAAGGTACCGTAAGCATTGCTGGTAATTCTCCTGGCTGGCTCCCATCCCCTGTGGACTGTTCCTCGCTGTGAGGCAAAGTTGTTACAGGCACAAGAGGACACAAAGGCAGGGAGTCAGTGAATCCAAGCATCGCTGCCCAGCCCCACGTGTCACCCACACGTGTCACCAGATCTCCTGGCCAAGAGAAGTGCAGATTCTCAAACTGAAGGTGAAGTTGCCCAACTTCGAAGAGGTGGCAACGCATTCAAAAATTTTATAAATTCTCTATGACGTTGTAATGTTATCAGGGTCCATCCTGGGGAAGGCCCTTACAGGCATGTGTGTATTTGGGGGTGTTCAGACCTTTTAAATGAGATAGGCAGCAGAAGACCGCGGCTCTGGAAAGCCACAGGGGACGGAAGACAGTTTAGCCGCCGTGGCTG